GGGGTTGGCTATCCCTTCCTTCCCGCAGCGAGGCGAGGCGAACGCTGTTCGTGATGCTCCGGTAACCTGCGGCCTGTCACCGTGCAGCGGCAGGGCAGGAGCCCCGGTGACACGGTGTGAGCTGCCGGCAAGCCCCGGTGACACGGGGGTGGGAACATTAGATTTCCCCGGAGCCGATTTGCGCACAGTGAGTCAAACGTCGCGGTTCCTGCAGCTCCCTCCAGTTTGCTGCCGTCTCTAGTCCGTTCCTTGTCTCTGTGACCGGCGGGGTGCGGATGGAAGGAGCCCCGAGCCTTGTGGCGGGTCCCTGGTCCCCTCGCAGCCCAGGTGCTGCTGCCTCACCATTTCTTCTGCCAGGCCTGAAGCTCCTGAGCTTCTGTCTCTCCATCCTGTATTTTTTGGGGCTGTTTTCCTCGTGATGGGATCCCCATGGGCCCGTGCCTGTTCAGTCTGCAGCCAGCACGGGACTGCTCATGCAGGCACCACAGGCTCTCTCATCCAGGTGAGACATGGTCTATGGTGCTGGCAGGTATGGGCAGAGCACCCAGCCTGCTTCCCAAAACCACAAATTTCTTCCCCAAGCATTGCTGGGAGCCACAGCGCAGCAGTGGGTGAGTGCCAGAGCAGGCTGGGCGAGATGTACCCAGTCTCTGTCACATCCCCTATCCAGGCCTGTTGCATATATGCAGTGATTTTCCAGCTGGTGAGCAGAAAATTCCTCTACATGGAGCTGCCAACGGCAGATTCAAGCGAGCTGCTGGTTTTATTCATTATTACTATTATTGTTTTGATGTGGAGGGTGGCAGGGCCAGCTGTCACCTCCTGCTCATGGCCTGCGGGTCTGTGGGTCAGATGCATCACGGAGCAGGAGCTGATCAGCTTGGCACATGGCTCCCACCATCTGTGGGGGTAGCAAAGCCACTGACGGGCTGGTGCTGGGAGCATCCCCAAATGGGACGGGGTTTATGACCTTCCCTGCCTGTTCCTGGAAGTGCTTGTGGCATGGAAAGTGGGCACCCTGGCAGTGCTGAGTGGTGCTGTCAGTGTCAGCATGGTTTGGAGCAGGCACTGTGCTTGTTGGCCCCGTCGCTGCCAGGACCGTGCTGAAATGGCAGAGGAAGTGCCAAGATGCTGCCATGAAGCTGAACAGGACTCAGCTGAGGGAGAGGAACCAGGTTTTCCTAATTTATAGCTGCCAGAGCGCCACTGCGTGAGCAGCCTGCCCCAAACCCTGGCCCCTTTTTGCTGGCTTGGCCTCTAGTTTTCCTGTGAGATCCAGCTGCACTGGTGTTGTTATCATTGCGGGATCACTGAGTCGCACTGCCACAGGGACCAGCCTGCTCCACTTACTGAGGTGGCACGCTCCGGGCTGGTTTTTTTTACCCAAGATAGCCAAAAAAGCCAAAGGCACTGAGAAGGCGTGATGAGCACAAGGGGGATGAGTGTCCAGTGGCAGAACGCGGCAGCCGGGTGACCCTGGCGCTGGAGGCAACCCTGCAGCATCACTGCCGCCGCTGTATTTGATTATTTTAAGAGAAACACACGCGGCGCGATGTGAGGCAGTGATGATG